AATACTGATATTCCAGGTCCCCTTCAGCGCTGGCCCTACAACCAGTTTCTAACTGAACCTGTAGTATTCAAGCCCTTCTCTCCCCTGTTATCAAAGTTGAATGCCTGTCAGCAAGCAGTTTCTTCCACATAACTAACCCGACTCCCAGTATCACTCTTTCCTGTCGTATATTTGTCCTGTTTACTGCACTGTAGAAGTCCCTATCTTCTTCGGTCATTCTAGGTCCCTTTAGGGCCAGCTTTGTAACCGAACTGTCGCTACAGTTGTAGTATGTAAATCCCATTCTCGTCACAAATTTGACACTCCGTCTCACCCCTTCACCCAGCTGTCTGGCATCCGATTACTGAACATGTTGCGTTATTATTTTCATGGCTTCAAACCCGGCGTAATAACTTCACTAGCTCTCATACATTTTCGAACGGTAAGCTCTTGCACTCTCAACAGATCGCTCAATAGGGTGCATCAACACTAGAGGCAAAACAATCCCATCAGTTCGAGCAGGCTGAATCACCAAAAGTAGCGTAAGTAATGCCCACCAATGGAGACCAAAACGGGTTTCAAACCCAACAGCAATTTGCCAAATTTTACTAAATTTTTTCATACTCATTTCTTTATTATTGGTGACAAGCTCCTCTAGCTCACTGTTGTTAGCGATATAGCTACGTTTATGTTGAAAATCTGCTCTAAGGGATAATACTTGCGATTTTTAGCTAAGAAATGTGTGTATCTTCCAGGCCAAAATGTGTCAAGGGATCCGAAATGTCTCTTCGGTTACTCAGGTATACCCGGCTCATGCGTTCTTGATATAAGCTTCAGAAACACTTAGAGGCTTAAAAACACTAAACTCAATATTCCTGGTTGTTTATGTGATTCAGGATCCACTGAAAATTTTATGCTGAGGCCTTCTAACTGTGGGTTAATTATAGGCTCATCTGAATTCCCAGGCAGACATAATATTCCTTACTGGATTTCTAGCGTTTTCGCGCAGAACTACACCTTGTTTACGTATATATGCCAAGTATGTCTGCAAAGTGTACTTTTTGGCCACCTACGCAGTCCCTAGTTGTCGCTTTTTATTACGGGTTAATTATAGCATTGCTGGATAGCTATACCAATTTAGAACATATACCGCTTCGCTACTTTTTACATTTTCTTCTCTTTTTTCTACCATCTGCTTGCAAAGCAGAAAGCCACTTTTAATGAAAAAGAATAGTAGCCTTATTCGTAGACCACCATTTAATTTCAAATAACTCGCAAACTGCTGTACGTTTAACATTGTTTTTACTTTCAGCCTATTCAGCGGTTAAAACTTGTCCAGACCCGTATATTTTTGTGCTACTTTACGCAGTATTCTAGCCTTAGAAAAGTTTTTTCTTTTTTCTGCGATTTACTCAGATTAAAATTTCGCGCCATAAAGCAATATCAGCGCAAGAGAATCTTTGCTGCATTTGATGTTAATTAGTATTTTTCTAGTGAAGCACGCTGCCTTACTATGTATCTTAACAAATCCTTTTTATTTTCTTCCGCGTTTATTGAAATTATCTCCTAACTTTCGTATCTTATATAATTCTGCCACTCTCATTTCTTCCATGTTCTAACCAAAAATTGTGACGACTGAGCGGGCCAACCGATGTCAAATGAATTTAAAGTGAACTTGTGCTGAATTGGATCCTGTTCAAAAGGAAAAACGCACAACAACACCACTGCGCAGCTTTCGCAACAAAAGAACAAGGAGCTCGATATCGCGAGAAGGAACCAGAAAAATTTCAAGGTGGGCGCATACGAACCAGCAGCTGTACACCAAACAATGCTAATGCGTTTGTAATTGCCAACATATACTTGTATTTTGCCTACTTCCATGCAAGAGCATCGGGTTAATGTTAAACTTGATCTGAACGATTAAGGGTGCAGCTTCCAGCCTGTAAAGAAATAAATTTATTTATTTATTTGTTTATAAGCGCTTATTAAACCACTCACTAGGTTCTTCTGATTTCCTGGACTCATTTACCGGTTAACAACGCCTGATACTCACGGTTTCCAAACAGGACAACTTTTGCGTACTTTGGGCCACTTCGGCCAGCATCTTTCTCTCACATTCAGCAAATATCGGGTCTCGTGCCTCAACGCAAAAATACGGATACGGATATGATGTACAACATATACGGTGACTCCATTGCTTTCAACTAGCACAACGTCACCATACATTTTTTATTTATACAATAACATAGTCCTGTTTAATGTCGTTGGCAGTTTGCTCTGTCCGTTTCTCTTCTCCCCTTGTTCTACAGGATAACATTACCTGCACGGAACACCGTTGAAAACATACCTGCGACGCTCCCATGGGCACGGAATCAACAAAGAACAAACCCGCACTTCATAATCCTGACACACCAAAGAACCTGGAAAACTGATCAACTCAATACAAGTCACGTGAGTCCTCCGACTTCAACAGCTCCAACCACTTGCACTGAACTCCGAAGGCGACTACGCAGCCATGGGAAACAAATTGGCGTTACGTGACTGCAAATATCCGCGACGGTAATCGGTCAGATACAATCTTGTCAATGTTATATCACCAGCCGGCAGTGTTCCAGGACGTGGTGGGTCTTCGTCTGGCAAGCGTTTTCCCTGCAAAAAGCCACAACTGTCTGTTTAACAACACTGCGACGTGGCGGATGCGACTCGCCACTCAAGAAAGTCACCGCCCCTAACACATTGGCAAGTTGACCGACATCACATTTACAGGTTCTGTGCATATATCTGCTCTCGCAAGAACACGCCTACATATCTGATTAGTGACATGCCCCTATTATTAGGTATTTTTCACCCGTTTCCTCATACTTTACTCAATGACCCACACTGCGTACGGGACATCATCGGACTAGTTCCTCATCAACATACCATATAAGTGACCTGATTACTATCTCTACCTCTCGCATTCTGTGTACATAGACTTCATACAACCTTTGGGCCCTATGGGCCCACACTATTGTCTCTAACTGCAATACTCCCGCTGCTGGTGCTGCTTATTCTGCTAAAATGTACAATATGGCAATATGATGATCATGCCCAAAAGGCGTGTCTTGCTTTGTTGCGAATAAAATAATTATTTGTTTATTTTTTTAAGCACATCAGGTACGCCGGGGACAATTTCAATGCTGGTCAACGTGTCTTCACATACAGGAGCCCCTGCATACTGCACCGCAATACACGAGCCTTATCTGAGTTCGGATTCGCACGAGTTCCATCGGCTCGCAGGAAAGTTGGGATTACAGAGGTTGATCCACAGGGTCTCTTAACATAAACGAAAAACTTCGGATTTGCCGAAGCCCCATCAGCCAATTCCGTTTCGTACACCAGCCGAGCTTTCATTAAATGTTGTTTACACCTATTTCTAGCCTCGCGGTATCTATCACAGGTGCTAGTTGACGGAGCCGCACGGTTGGTGCTCTAGCACCTAGATCGCTTCTGGAGCAGGTGCTTGCCAGTGGTGTCTATCCACGGCGGCCGCGCACGTGTCTCCTTTCTCCTCGCAAGCGGGATGTAGGGAGTAGACACTTCCGTAAGATAAGATTTAAAATTATCCCAGACCGCCTGAACTGTACCAATCACCGAGATTTCGCAACGCATCTCAGCAGCCTTGATACGCATTGCCTGATAATTAGCACGCCGTATGTTTGGAAATGGCTTAGCAATGCTCTGGTGCCGCCTGGTCAGAGTACACCTGAACGATAAACGCACGCTCACTAGCACCTAAGGGAGAGCTGTGAGTGATGTCACCTACGAAGTCTAGTGACTTGGCGAACACTAGATCCAAAATAGACAGGAGTTGGGCATCCATATACCTAGTGGGGAAGTCCACGAACTGATGCAACGGTACTTGTAGCGTAAGCTCAAGTAGATCTGCCCCGAAAGTACCTTCCGCCGAGTTTCAAGAAAGCTCTGCCCAGCAAACTTCTGGTAGATTGAAATCTCCCAGTATCGAACGCCTGTTTGCGGAATGGGAGCGAATAAAGTCAAACACCCCTTTGGACGCACTCCCAGGGCTTCCGTACACAAGTACAACTGTAAGTTGAGCTGTGGAAGTGCTAATCACTACCGACACAGCTTCGACAGTTTACCTCCCGACTGAAACATGTAGGTACGTGAAACGTCAAGTTCACATCTAACGTAAAGTGCAACGCCCCCGCCTTGTCAGCCAACGAAGTGATCACAGCTAAATAGTGCGTAGCCAGACAGGTATACTTCACCGTCCGTGATGTCCCGAGACAGCCACGTTTCAGTGCATGCAAGTATATCGGTGTGAGACCCATCTACAGGCAGACCTATCTCGTACATCTTATTCCTTAGGCTCCGCACATTGTTTAGCACTATCTGAAGGTATTCGTAATGTCCAGCCCTGGGTCGTGCGCTACCAGTACTAGTGCTGGTAGGGCGTAAACAGACCGCCGGTTGACCACCCGAAAACCCACCAACCGGAGACCTTGTTGCTCAGCCACTCGCCTGGTTTTGAGGTCCTTAATGGCCTCTTTTAGCTTCAGCCTATCCGCTAATGGGAGGTCTGACTGAACGCTAACATTAGTGCTCTTCAATTTGAAGACAAACCACAACACCGCGTTGCCTTCCTCCAGGGTGGATAGGACAACCCGAAGTAAGCGCGGTCGGGGGTTTGGGGCGTTAACTGGGACGTTACCCAATCTAGTCAGTTTCCTGACAGTAACACCGGGAAACCAGCGGAAGTAAACATCACATTGCATACCACCAGATGAATCCGTAACTGGTCTTGAACAGACAGAATTGCCGCAAGCTGCATTGGACTCATCAAACGAGGACCGGTCCTTGGGCCCGAAAACTTCTGCCCCGGATTTTAGCGAGATGAACATGTTTAAGGTGGAAAACGGAGCAGAATTTAAAAACACGTATACAATCGTAAAACGATCCCAGAAAGACAAAACAGGGTGTGAAACGAGATTAAAAAGGGGAACAACCTCAAATATTACCAGTAAGCGTCAAGGAGACACTATGTCCAGTACCACTTTAATCGATCCAAGGTATCTTGGATCTGAGTAAATTTGACAACAGTCAAACTTCGCTTAAGTGTTTATTCAAACACCATTTTCCACAATATTTCAGCCATAAAGCTCGAGCAGTATGGCACGCCAAAGAATCTGGTTAACGAATGGTACTCACAGAATACTACTAGTGCACCAGCTCTCGTGCAATCAATCGGTCCATCACACAACGGCCAACAAATTAATAACCACCCGGACCGTTTGGTTGCACAATGATGAAAAGCTGCCGCTTGCGGAAGTTTGGTGGTACAACTGGCACCCAGAAACGATGTAACCTAGCAAAGTTGTCAGTGATGATATTGGCGCGACAGTGGAAGCTTCATGAAATTGTATAGTATAATGTAATGTGGTGCGATATAAAGCGTTATAGATAGGAGTGCTGTATGATACTTGTTTTATTTTACGGTGGATATAGTTGATGGTGTAGCTGCTACTATGACTGTGGATGACAGAGAGCTGTTCAAATCTATTGCTGCGGCTATGCATGACAGTGTTGAAGACTTGGAGGAAGAGTAGGTACGTTTTCAACTGGAAACGGCGACTTGTTATTTTCGAATTACATCGGTGTCCGCCCCAGCCCCGGCGTGGAAGCAGAATGGACGTACCAGATGGAGCTGGTTACGGTTGCATACAGTAACGTTGTGCGCATTGCAAACGGACAGGATCTAGTAACAAACGGTAAGTGTTCATAATGATCAATTACCTCAACAAATACATGGAGATACAACTCGTATGGTTGCATGGCTCGCTGCTCATGCATTTGAAAGAGCAAAGTTACGTTGTTGGAAGATTTTGCATGTCACAATCATTATTTCCATCTTGGAAACTCATGCTTTTACTCGCGTAACTGTCAGCTCTCATCGGGACAAGATTTGGAGGTTCTGAGGTTGATGGAAAGTTTTCACAGCACACCGGATTTCAGACGGTTCATATTCCACCAATATGGCAAACGGTTCACGCGCATGGATCTTAGTAATTTGCGGAGATGTCATCGGAGTATGACTCAATGTGTGGTTACAGACGACGCATCGATGTTAGAGGGTCTTGGAGATTGCCGGTTGGTGTCTGAAGGGAGGTAGAATCGGTAAATAAATAAATAGTTTATTCTCAGTTTCGTGGTGTGTCCCGTCGGGAAGAAATATGGTGAGGTGCTTTTAAATAAATAAACCAACAAATATTTATTCTTGACTGTGCGAGGCACGCCCATGGAGACATGATCAGGTAGATGCAACTGTACTGACATTTTATGGCAATTGTAACAGCGACAGTAGAAAATTGTTCATACGTTCATGATTGGAACTTTGCAATGTTGGAAATGCGAAACCACAATTGGACTGTCGTGAGTTCGGGAGTCCCTCGTTAGGGCATAGTCTGTCTGCCAGAAATTGTAGTCATACCTCACCTAAAAATTGATTAAGAATCTTGAATGATCCATTAGAGGATAATTGAAGAGCACGATCGAGAGGTCCGACAATCTACTGCGTTCATGCGTACCTGACGCAAAGATCAAAGGTGCTATCGTAGCAAGTAACGGGAAGACAGTATATGCGTGAAATCGTAAAAAGCAGAGGCGACGGTATGTGCAGATGTAGAACTTCCAGTGTAACGAACGTATCTAGAATGCTGACGGTAGTTGCTCGGCCAGTGTGAAGTTATGGGCTGTGACTTTAATCAGTGGCGAGTCACATTCGCCACGTTGCAGTGTTGTTAACCGGACAATTGTGGTTTATTGAAGGTGAACGCTTACCAGTCGAGTACCCACCACGTGCTAAACACTGCCACCGGACCGTTAATAACAAGTTGTAATTGGCTGTGCTTCTTGTTGAACGTTTATTCGCTCGGTTAATCGCAATCGAGTTGCGTCCCATTTTTCCGTTGGCTGATGCGTTAGGCGAGTGCCTATTGCGTTCCTGGGTCCTGTCCTGTTTTGAACGAAAGGCAGCGCCCGATTGGTATGTCACGAATTAAACCTTTGTTGAATATGATGTGTTGATCCTTGGCAGAACCACTCGTAGTCTCAGAAGAGTATACATGGAGATATATCGAAGTCCTGAAGATTGGGATTTGGTTTCGAGAAAGAGATCACGGATCCTCCCAGGATGTGGTTGATAATTGCTTGGAAATATAGCAACCACGGCCACTTGAACGGTCAAAGCAGAGTGAACAGCTCAGGATGGCAAATTGTTCCTGTCATGTATCGGCAGGAGAAGGTGCCTTCCGAAGTCAATAACCGTGCTTCAAGCAAGAAGTATGTGAAAGAGATAGTGGTAGGCGAACTGAACCCAATTTTTCAAACCTCGGGATGATTGTATCCTTGCAAATTAACGAATAATTTGTCCGGTTAGTAAATTGTAAAAACGGCTGATAATCTTTCTCGCATATCCAGATAAAGGAGCTTCGCGCCTCTTATTACATTATTGCCGCAACGATGGACAATTCCTTGAGTGTGTGAAGCTGCACCTGTGAAAACGCGGGAAAAAGGGGCAAGGAACAGACAACCAAACAGACAGACGAAAGAAATGCATCCGGAACGCAGTCGATCAATTTCAACAGTGCTCGAACTATCGTACCCCATATGATGTTGTTATGTACATTTCGCATGTGCACATGTATCATAAGTGACATGATAAAACGAGAGGCAAGCAGATCACGGATCAGTAGAGAATGAAAGGTTGTTCCAACTTAGGAAGGAAAATGAAACAACGTGCAGTTGTATGGTGCTAAAGCGTATATGCACAAATGTGGGAACCGTGGAGAGGAGGCCGAGATTGCGGATTACAGCATAGTGTACCACGCAGAAGAAGCGGACGGGACGCCTTGCCTCGATCCAAAGTGAGTAGGAATGTAAAAGGACATGGAGGTCAACTACATGTAAGTTAGCGACAAATGAAGGAGGAATGCGGAAGAAAGCAAGGGAAGGCGGGAAAAAGGTTAGTATAAAGGTTCTGTTGAGGAGAAGTGGAAAAACCAACGACCTTCTTCGGGTGATGATTTATCCCGGTTAATAAGAAGAAGGTCAAATAATGCCCAGCGTTGTAATTGAGGTAAGGGTGGCAGTGTCGCGCCGAAATAGGTATACAGCTTGCCGAGCAACAAACTTAGAATGAAGGTTACAGTGGGTTGGCCCTACAAAACCTGAATCCTTTGCGCCTCAGATGTCTGGATACAAGCAGAAAAAAGAGACTGGTCATAAGAGCTAGGTTAAAGCTAGGCTCGATGAGATTTCCGTCCAATTGAAAAAGGAATGCAAACAGAGAGCGCGAAACGTAACGAATTGGGTCTGGAAGGAACAGTATTCATTGCGATAAAGTGGAAATGCCTATAACGATCTCCTAGTGTTGTGAACAGACCTTTGGATCTACCAGTGATTTATCGGTGAGGCCTCAGTAGTCGAAGAGCAGTTGACCATTGAGACGAGACTAGAATATCGGCTCATAGAGAGAAAGCCGTTTTATTAATGTCAGAAAGCTAGCAGAGAGTGTCGGCAGAAATAGACATGTTAAGGATGAAAGAGGAGTATAATAAAAAGCATGAATCATTACCAGCAATGCTCTTGAGGAGATAGTTACAGAGCTTTGTGTCCGCAGGTACTGGACTATTTAGATCTCAGTAGTCTGAGCGAGATCAGAAAACAAGAGACCGTTCAGACTAGTCCGTGTAAGTCAGCAAGGTGATACTGGTCGCGAAATTAAGGTGGGAATAACAGTAGTGGGTGTCATAAGCAAAGAAGAATAGCGAGACGACAGCGGCCATCTAGAAAGCTAGTTAGCATGCCGAGCGAAGCTCTCCGGCCAAGTAACAGAGTGTGCTGCGACTGCAGCGCCTAGCACGTTTACGTCTCGGATGTCTGGAAACTGTCAGAAAGTGGGAGCCTGGTCAGACCAGGAGAGATTAGAGACAGGCCCGAAGCGTTATCCGTCCAATTGATAAAGGAATGCAAACAGCGAGCGTGCAAAGGAACGAATGGGGTCGGGAAGGAGATTAATACGAAGGAGAAGTGGAAAAGCTTGCAACGACATCGAAGTGATGTGGACAGACCTTTGGATCGGTCGCTGCTTCATCGGTATGTGTTTAGTAGGCGGAAAGCAGAAGTCGAGTCTAGAATGTCTGCTCATAGAGAGAAGTCCGTATTACTAAGGTATGAGTACTACTAGAGAGCATTGGCAGAAATAGGCATGTTAAGGAAGAAAGAGGACAGAATAATAAGGATTACTCAGGAACAGCCATGCTTAGAAAGTGAAAGTCACAGTGCGTTACATCAACAGCGCTTATTTCATTTAGACCCCAGTAGTCCGAGAGAGGTCAGAAACCAGGAGACAGTTCAGACAAAATCGGAAAGGTCAGCAAGATGAAGCAGGGCCACCGAATTAAGGTGGGAATAAAAGTATTGGGTGTTATCCGAAAAAGCGCTTCGTGACGAAAGTGGCTACGTTAAAAGGTGGTTAAATAAATAAATAAATATGTTATTCTCGACTTTGCGAGGCACGTCAATTGAGGCATGCTCAGTTATGTACAGCTGTACAGACATTTTATGGGAACTGTAGTGACAGTAGAAAATTGTTCATATGTCCATGCTTGGAACTGTGCGATGGTGAACATGCGAAACAACGATTTGGTTGTAGTGGGATTGGGATCCATTTGTTTGGACATAATCGCTCTGCCATATATCGCAGTCATACCTCGACTAATAATAGATTGTGAATCCTGAGTGGTCCATTGGAAGATAATTGAAGAGCAAGCTATCCAGTATGATGATTCTAATTGAGCTGCCAAAGTGAAGTTAGGGGCTGTGACTTTATTCGGTGGCGAGTCACATTCGCCCCGTTGCAGTGTTGTTAAACGGACATTTGTGGCTTTTTATAGGGAGAACGCTTGCCAGGCGAAAACCCACCACGTCCTGAAACACTGCCGCCAATCCATTGAATGGCAAGTTGTAACTGGCTATGTTTCTTGTTTAACGTTTTTTTGCTCCGTTATTCGCATGCAAGTTGCGTCCCAATTTTCTGCTGACT